GCGCTTGAGCAACTCGTATGCGTCCTTCCTTGTACAAGTACATAGTCTGGCCCTCAGTCTCTAAGATTTTTCGCGCTTTCGCGGCTTTATGGTCACTGGCAAAGGCGTTGTGGCCCCCATAAGTGGCATTTCTGATGCCTCCCCAATGCCCCACCCAACGAAAAGGCTATTTTTTGTCACCTAGTACAGTTTTCCGTTTTTTTTTTTCGCTGTTTCATGGTGATAGTATTGAATGACGCGGAGAAACCATTATTGAGCTAGAGGTGGCAGGATATAGCTTTGCTGGTATAAAACGAGCAGGTCCGGAAAACTCGTCCAGAGAGGCTACCAGGTCTTTACTTAGGGTGTTCTCCGTGGTTATTTTTCCCGCGCTCTTCTTCCCGGGGCAGTTATTTAGCAGATAGGTTTGTAAACGAGCGCCAGTATCCACAATATAAAGTCGAGGGTTTGTCTCTAACGTGATGAGCCGGTTAGCCGACATTGACAGTGTAGGGCCAAACTTCATTCTTTTTTTATTGAAGGCCCTTAAAGAAGAAAAATATCAAGAAAGAAAACCGAGGGGGTGTGCTTTTTCGCCTGAGCATAGAAAGAAGAAATCCCGAGGTGGGTGAATGAGTTGGTGCAAAAGGTGGTCTGAGGTTATAACTGACTACATTTCGTAGCTTTAAAGGCTTATCCAGTGCCTCCCTTTCATATCCTCCTTAACCTGATTGTAAGGCTTCTCACTCTGTTTGACCGTTTTATTGCTGTTATACATATTATTACTATTGTTAGTCGATATTCGGTGGAGCTACTCTCTACTTTTGTCTTGTTTACTTAAATTTCTTTTCTTTTTCAATGGCTGTGGCTTTCACAATGACTTCTCCGATGCTGAAACGAATTGCTAAACTCCTACTTTTCATTTTTGTTTCGTTTTTTTTTTACTTTTTCACTTGTGTTCTTACAGGAGCGCTTGTGGAAATCCCATGTAATAGCGAACACTCGTGTTTCCTACAATGAAAAGGAGTTATTGCAATTGATTCACGACCATCTCGTTAGGAAAGGCCTCCACTCCACTGCGGAGCAGCTTGTGTCTGAAGCGGATCTCCCGCAAATTCCAGCAAGTAAAGCGTCTACAACACCGGCGAGACTACCACCTCTGGTTAGTGCTGGGTAAATGGAGAATTTATTAGCCGTACTCAAGGGTTTTTATGAGTATTTAGTATGTCATACACAATTTTTTTTTAGCCGCGAACCCGATCTCTGGCAATACCAGCCACTCAGCCTCGATCTTTGGTTCTTCCTGGAGCTGCGGGCTTGACAACAACTGGGACGGCTGCTGAAGCTAGCACTCCAATTAATTCTTTCCATAAACGATTAGGAAGTGTTACCTTACCGACATCGCAGCGGGAGCATGGATTCCTGGAGCCGACACCGGGCCGAGTTCGCAAATCGAGTTCGTGTTGTTCTTTCATTTTGTTTTTGAATTTTTTTTCCTGGTTTTTTTGTTCAGTTTGTCTGTATATTAGTGTTATTGTAGGATCGATTGCGTTCCCGCCAGGCCGCGACTCAGCTTCGAACAGCAACGTCGACGAACACGAGAACGAATGTAACAGAAAAAGAAGAAATTCGCCCCTACAAGGGTCTTGATGACATTGTTACAGAGTATTTCAGGTAAGTTTAAGGAATGTTCTTCGTAGGTACATTGAAGAATCAAATCCAAAATGAAATTATCTGGTATCAGAGTGGCATAACTACTCGAAATGCTGCTCACCTCAGTTAACAAACTTCGTCCTCGCTTTCTCACTTTTTTATCCCATCGTTGTCTCTGAGCCGCGTACCGTGGAAATGGTCCCGTGAACTATCAGTCACCTCGCTTGCTAGCAAGAGATATTTTGTCCGTACACTCTCGGTAAGACATAAATTCTAAGAACTCTTGACACATTCATATGTTTGACATCGGATTCCTCCGTGAGGCGAAATGACACATTCCTGCGATTGCAGTTTGCGGGAGGGGTGGACATAATGAAGTTTTAGGTGCTATCGTACTTGAGTTACTAGTAAAACGAAAAGGTGGGCGATAAACGTCGAAGGAACCCATGAGATGCGAGACAAAGGATGAGAGAACGAGTAAGAGGTAAGGAATGCGCTTTCCATCTGCCTCTCGATACGGTATAGACCGTTCCTCTCCAAAGTGTGAGGGAGCTTCTATGGCGGAGGGGGAGGGAGGGACGTGCCTTCTGCAGATGACAGCTGCAGCGTCGTGTGCACACTGAACAGCCGTAAATTTAAGACGACGTCTGAAGTTGTGGGCCGAACCTCCCGCCGAACGATATGCACCCTTGCCAATGACGTCGATAAAGTACATCAGTCAAGAAATCTAGTTGTCCAGTTCACAAAACGCGTCGCATAGGCGGAGTGATGGGTGGCAATTACGGCCGCTGCGCCCCATTGGCAATCCGGCCGCGCGAACCATCGTCGAACAGGTGTCGAACAAGAAACAGATTCTTACTATCGCGTGATCGCGGAATTCGTCTTTAATTTCCGCGTTTTACCGCTGTGATTGCGTCTACTTGTGTGAACTTTGCAGGAACAAAGTGAAGTCGAAGGATGAGAGTTACGTGTTCAGTCGATTCCGCCCTGCAAGAACAATAACCGAGCACGAAGAAATGTATACCAGCTGTGCATTTTCTGTATGTTACATAGATTTCAAGCCTTTACACTTGTTTGGATTCACTCGTTACCTAGTAGCTCCTTTTTACAAGTGAGTTGAGTGAATCAGATCGTTTCAGATCGATGATGAGCATCTAATCGTCGGAACATTCACTGGTGAAGTTCACTGGTTGAATATGGAGACGGGAGCCGAAGAATCCCACACAGTTTGCCATTCGAGTGGAATTACATCCATTGTTCCCAGTAAGGTACGCGTGGTGCATCAGTTCGCTGACTCCTTCTTGTTATAAGATACACGACTGTTTGAATTCTACTACAGCTTTTTAGGATGGTAATTTCTTGCTCACATCATCGGCTTATATCACGCCTTTATCCGCGCTGTGGAAATTGGGAGACCAGCAGGAGTATGCGTTGGATATACCAGATGAATACTTCGTTCAGTTTTCGAATCTGTCAAGTGAGAAAATCATTGGAACAAGCGATATCGTAGGAACGGTGGGCTTTTATTCTGTGATCTCATCTCTTCTTTCTTTTGTTTGTTTACAAAGTTTTTAGAGAAGGTGTGTGGCATGGCGGAAGTCTGTGCAATTTACCTTCGTTTTTAGATGATTTCGTACATTTTTGCGTAATACAGATCTACGATACTGAGACGGGTCGACTCTTGCGAAAGTTCCGCCGTGATTCGTGTCCAACCGGCTACACTCACAACCGTGCATCGTTTTCTCCATGTGACACGATGGTTCTAAATGATGGAGTGCTTTATGATGTTCGCGGACCTGTAAGTCACTCCCACCCTTCTATCTTGTCTATCTAAAAAAGGGCCTAGCGAGGTAGGGGGGGGGGTGCTGGATTGCTTATTTCTTTGGTTTTCTCGCCTTGGTCAGACCTATAACTCTGACCAAGGCGAGAAAACCTCTTGAGAAAGTCCAGTTGGAACAATTCTTGCTGAGACCCTAATAACACCTCTTAAATTCTTACAAATTGTATTATATTAGCTTCATTATGTATAGTTGTGTTAGTTTCTAGGAGTTCATACCCTTACTGTACATAACTTCCTATGTCCGTGAGTTATGTGCGCGTGATTCTCTGGTTGCGTGCTTGTCCGCAAGGCCGGTTTTTCCCGAAGAGCCATCTGGATAACCGAGATCGGGCTTGGTATTGATAGGGCATAGGATGGGATATACGGGACACACACCCAAGCTGAGCCCCCCTCACAGCTGTCAGGGGAAGCGTTGATGTGCGCGGGGTAGAAAACAGTAATTCATAATTCGCTTTGAAAGCAGCTTAAGGATCAGAGAAAGTGAACCAATGCTGAGCAGCTTCGCCTCTCCTTCATTGATCGAGTTGAATTACCCGTTCGATATCAAACATTCATCTGCGCTCTTGATCAACGCCCCTTACCATCATCTGATGGAGCGTAGGAGTGTTGAAGGTCATAAGTGCAGTAGTGTAGGATAGGAAGCGTTGATCAAGTGCGACGATGACAGTACTCGATATGGTCTGGGTTTCTCAGCTGCTTGAAAGGGGAAGTGCATCACGATTTACGGCCATGGCAGAGAAGGAAGAACGCGGGTATCCAAAATCTGACTGATGTCTTTGAAAGGCGATTTGTATTAGTTTTTGAGTGCTATTGCACAGCTCTCCAGCAGTTTGCAGTTCTCCGGTGGGTTCATGGAGGACCCTGGAGATAAACTGTACACTCCTTTTTGTAATCGTGGTCGTTGCCTTGTGCAAAGTGAATGGGTCCGCAGCTGCAGCCGCGTGCCACTTTCTCCTATTAGAAGTACACGAAAGCGGGGCTGGAGGGTAACCTAATCCAGTATGACTCCATACTCCGCCGGCGCTGCCGTACGCCCGTCAGGCCCTAGCGATACACACGCGCTACTCTGCTCCCTGCCACTGCTTGTGCTCTATCGCTGAGAACTTGTTTCCCCGCGGAGCTTGGCTTCAAGGAAAAACTCACCCGTGCGTTGCGGCACGAATTTCCGACGTCACCGCGAGAGCAGCGGCGAAAGGCGATGGCCCGCGCCTCCGCCACTGTGCTCCAATCAGCAGCCGCTTTTATATATGGAAGGAAAAAGAGGGAAAAAAAGAGAGAGAAAGATGATTGAACAGATAGTGGATGCTTACAGGTGAGTTAGTGGTAGTGGTGAGAGAATACAGAAAAGTCGACTATCAGGGCGAATTACTTCAGCAAATGGCGAAACTGACGAAGTAGTTTCCTTCGATTGTGAAAACGACAGCTTTTACACAAACACTTAAGGGCAGGTTTGGCAAATTGCCAACAGTTAGATGTGACCTTATAACGGTATGACGGTAATCGAAGGGAACTGTTTCGCCATTTACTGAAGTAATTATCATGATAGTCGACTTATTCTGTATTCTCTCACCTTTACCACTAACTCACCTATACGCATCCACTATTTGTTCAATCCTCTTTTCTCTCTTTTTCCTTCCACATAAAAGCGGCTGCTGATCGGAGCACAGTGGCGGAGGCGCAGGCCATCGCCCTTCGCTCCGCGCTGACGTCAAAACCGCACCGCATACGAGCCCAGGTGAGTTTTCCCTCCTCCGGCGGGGGCTTGGCAGGTTGTCAACCAGACGTGCTCTCGCCGCGAGGGTCCAGGGGTATTTTCACGAGGCATCTACCAGTCCAGTAGTTGGAGGGAGAAGGTAAAGGAGGAGGGATCAGAGAAGGAAGGAAGGAAAAGAAGGAAGGAGGAAGAAAAAATGAAAGAGAGGAGAGGCTTCTCGGTTGACAAGTGCCCTGAAGCGGGGCTTGGCATCGTCTCAAGTGCTGCATCTTGAAAATAGCGCCGGCGGAGTAAGAGAGAGCACTCGGGTACCCTGTTGCACCGTTCCATGCACCCTTGGGCGGAGAAAGTGGCAAGGTACCACAGCTGGCTTACTCGCCTTGCACATGGCTAGAACCGTCCACGGAGATGAGTATACGGGTGGTATTCAAGGAAAGCAGCGCACGAGAACCATCTTCAAGGATTGCGTTTCCAGGTCATTCACACATTCGATCAACTGAATACAACCGGTTGCAGTGTATTCCATCCACAAGGAAATGAAATAATCATCAATACAGAAGTGGTAGGTTTCTCTGTGCCGTGTTATGCAACGACAATCATAATTCGAAGCTGTTTCAGTGGGATACTCGAACATACCGTTTGCTTCATTTGGTTCCTGCTCTAGAGCAGTGCAAACTTGTTTTCAATAGCACAGGGGTGAGTGATGGTATAATCTGAGATTGTGGATTTTCTTATGACATTTTCTTTTTCTAGAAGGTTGTTTATGCTGCCATGTACTCCGACTGCGCAGATGTTTTTCGTAACACATATTGTGCGTCATTTCGTACTTTCGATACTTTTGATTACTCTGTAAGTAGTGTTCTCTCATGTTTATTTTTAGTCTGAGCTTTTCTAGTCATAATTTTGTTTGAATATTTGGCACTGCTCAACTGCTGCAATGCCCAATTCCAAAACGATCGCCGATTTTATTCAGTGCCTTTCTCACGAATATGGCAATCCTTCTTGACTTTAGCGCCATTTCCGTCACCAGTTTGCATCTCTTGGTGTTGATGTCAACTTGAGTATAATGATTATTGGGCATCTTACTAAAGCCATTGTGCGTTCTGTTTTCTCAGTTCCCGAGAGGAAAGATGATCCTTTCCTGTGCTCAGACCTGGTATGGCACGGATGACCTGAGTGAGCAGGTCGGTCATGCGTGCCAGAGCAGGGTCTAAACTCGTAGCGTACTCCTCCCTCGATGTAAGCGTCAGCCCCGGCTCCAAATGGCGCAGAGCAATTATTGATATATTCATGATAAATATATTCCCTATCTTCAAATGCAAGTTTTTGAGTTTTTGCCCTTTCAAAAAGTTGTGGGCCCATCTTCCTGGAGTCAGATGGCCTCGGTGTCAACATTGATTGCTATAATCTTAATGGGGATGCCAATGGCCCTACTGCTTTTTAGCCTTCAGCTGTTTTTGCAATATCGCTCCAGCATCCAGAAACAATTGTCTGTCGTGTTTACGACACCAAGCCTTCGGTGGAAGTTTCAGCAAAATAAATTGAGATGAAAGCTGTAGCAGTTGTTTATTGCCCAGTATTTGTTTGATTATCCATTAATTGTTGAAGGTGTCGTTAAGGTGATTGCTACGGTAGATACAAAACGTCCTCTGCTAGATATCTCATGTGATCATTCCGATCGCTACGTTGCTGTGGTCGAGCGAATGAGTGAGGGAGAAGTTGAGTACATGCTCAGCAACGAGAAGACTTTGGTGAGAGCGTACGAGGTGTGTTTTACAACAAATGTCTTTTGTTTAATAGTGAGTCGTTTTGATTATTTGTAGGTTGGCAAACGACGTGATGCTGAAGATGACGATGTCGATGAGGCTGAAGATGAGGAGGGATCAGACAGTGGCCATGACAGCGATTCTTTGGGAGATGAAATGGACGATGGAGATGAGGATGACGATGATGATAATGATAGCGATGACGACGATGATGATGACGACGACGAGACAGGCGTTTTTGAGGCAATTGGAAGGGTTAGTGGATTTGGATTCATTCAGTGTAAAACTGATTCGTCGATATACTGTGCCTGATGAAGTTTCCCTAATTTTTTTCTGCATTTAAGCTTGAAGCTGGTTCTGAAAGCTCTGATAATAGCGACAGTGAAGGCAGTGGCTGGGAGACGTCATCGAACCAAAATGACCCGGTCGAGGGTTGGTCACCTCTATTCATTTGTAGGCTTCTCTCCAAGATCACCTTTCAATTTTATTCCCGTGAACGTCATATGTAGAACGATGTCTGTATTCAGACGGTGGCGAAGACGCCGATGGGGAGCAAGATGATGGAGAAATGAATTCGAGTCGAAGTGATGGGAGTGGCGAAGGAAATGGGGACGAGTACCTACTTCAGTAAGTGTCCACTACCTTTTGGCATTACTTACTCTTTACTGCCTCAATCATCCGGAATCAGGCCAGTTGACCGACTTTTTATTCCCTCCGAAAGCAGTCTTGGCTTGAAAGTTGTCCACAGGGTAGTTCGATCTTCTGAGCACGACTATCACATCTCTTTCCCCAAAAACCCGTGGCGCTCCCTCCGCAGGCGCCGGTGCCAAAATACCAAGGGTCACCAATTCGCTGAAAATTCGTTCCCAGAGGTAGTTTGACCTAAACAGACTATGATCCGCTTAGTCTGACGCCGCCTTACGCATATGTCACAAGCGACTCATCACATGCTTGTTTTGACACCTGCGGGTGTAGGACGGACAATAGTCGGGTCGTGAGGAGCGGTGTGCTAGGCACTTGGGGAGACGGTGAAAAAAAGCAGCCTTTCTGGTTGCCGGTGATGGGGATCCCTCCCTTTACTCATAGTCAGCCTTAGCAGAGGATCTTAATCTCGAGGGAACGGTGCAGGCGAGCAGAAGCAGGCAGAGCTATCACATGTTCCCTCTTCACTTCATCCTTAGCTTTCTTAATACCCCATATAGATGTGATATTCGTGTTCAGGAGGTGAAGCTAGCCTAGGAAATAGGTCTTGAGTGACCTTGGTGGTCTAGGGTGTTTTGGCGCCTGTGCCTGTGGCTTGGGTGCTTGAAGGTTTTGCGGCAAGCAGGTTTAATAGCATTCACGAGGTCAAAGTACTAGGGGACAACTTTTCAGTCAAGTCTGCCCTCGAAGAAAAAAGTCGATCAGACAACGGCCCGATTTTGGACGACTGAGACAATGAGTGGTACATAGTACCTACCTTCCTATATTCCTTACATGCGCTTTTTTTAGCCAAGATCCGCGGGAGGATCATCCGACGAGTAGTTCGACGGCCGTCAATCCTCATATACGTAGACAACGAAGGGGTCAGCGCTAAGGGTTCGGGTTGCAGTTTATAGAATTTGTTTCCGCCTAATGATGGCTTTCCAATGTACATCTTTCCACTGTTACTGACTTAATTGTCGTGTTTTGTTTCGAAGAGATAACCTTAATCTACGGTCCAGTTTTCGGCGTTCTCTCGGTGTTGTTATCGTTGTTGTTGTTCTTTGATTGTCCGTGTACATTCTGTGCAAAACATCATGTTGGTCGATCCGGTTTCAATTCATAAAGCTGAATTCACTAATCATTCCTACTTGCAACTTGCTCTGTTATTGATGCCTTTTAGTTAATTTCATGTGTCATGAATGGTGTTTTTCCTTATCGGGTGCGTTCTGAAATAGAACTGATCGGAATGAAATGTATACTGAGGTACAAAATTGTGAAGGGCGAACACTCCCACTCCATATCCCGGAGATGAGAGGGGTGTGACTGTTTATTTCATCCAAACAAGGCGGCTATTTCGTCGCTTACTGGTTATTGCAGCTTGGAGATATTATCTTACGGGAAACACACTACGCCACGTTCAGATGAGGTGCGCGGTCACGCCTCCCCATCTCCGTGACGTGAAATGTATAGTGGCAAGCGTCGCCACTTATCACTCTTGTGGCTCGGAAATGGAGCCTCCTGGGGCAAGTTTTGCCCAGGCTTATCAAACTGTCCATTCATTCGTGGTCTGCTTATTAGTACCATCATTCGGGAGGAGGAAACCTTCGACATCTATTGACTAGCACCTGAAGTCATCGCCATTGTATAGGTCGAGACGTAGAGAAAGGGATTGCTGAAAAGCCAGGGGTGCGAGGGGATCCAGTATCAGAGAAAAAAGTTCGAGGTCACAGATGGAGAGTACGAGGCCAACTTCGGACTGCATAGTGGAGAAGAAGCAAAAAAAAACAGTCCTGTGTAAGACCCCTGATGGATCCCAGCTTGTGCGTGCATACATGCATACAGTGAAGAAAAGGCATGTTTGTACGAATTCTCACCTTGCTGTCATCATAACGATGTCAGCTCTTTAACTTTATAACCGTGCTCTCATCATTTGGAATAAGGAATGCTGGAAGAGGGGCTACAAGCTAGTAGGTAGCACTGTCTGAGGGGTGGCATCGCCCTAAGGGTGCTTATGGCCCTTGTTGTCCTTCCTCCAAAATTCTTGCAAATTTGCACTTTTTGAATGTAGTGCAGTCTCTGCAATAGCCTATCGGATGTATTCGAGATTATAGCCTTATTTTATTGCGGAAGGTGCCTTTAAAGGCAGTTGGACCGATAATTTGGTACTCGGCCTAAATTGCCAGCAGGGCGTGAAACGGCGGAGAAAAGTCTTCATTCTTAATGACTCAAAAATCAATTTCGGACGAGTTTTCCGAAGACATCCTGCCAATATCGCTACGGTACTAGGTGCGGCTGCACGTACACTTGAAACCCCTGAGATGTGGGTAGACGCGGCTGCGCACTTCAATTAAACGTGGGGTGGCTGTGGTTTTAGAGAGACATTTTTGAGACAATTGGTCATGTCTCTGTCCTAATACTGAACAAGATGGCAATTGTCTTAAACTGGAATATCCCACGAGAAAAGCATTCTATGCCATTTTCGAATGCCACGCCCACTCTATCTCAGGGATGGACGGTATGTAGTATGTACTCGTACAAACATATACAAAATATGTAGCTCTGCAGCCGCTTCATACCAATCCCTTCGCTTCATATTGTACTTCGCAAATGAAGCGATACGAGCATCAGGTACGGTCGTCCATTTGTGGGCGGGCGGGCGTGGTGGGCGTTCGGGTCGGTATGTTGTAGCTTGATAGGGCCTTATAAGGGTACCTTCCTTGGAAAAGGCGCTACGCAGCGCCTGCTCAGGGTCGCGGAATTCCGTCCTGCCAGGCGTATAATCCTACTCGTCCTAGAGATTTATCGTGTTAGCTGCCTTCAAAGTGAAGAAAGGTGAAGAAGTGCTGCCTATAAAGGCTTTCGGTGCCTGTTGAAGAGGGTGTGCGACAACAGTTGGTGGAGAACGGGTGGCATCGCCCGGCCCTGTGACAGCACTCACAGTGAATAAGACAGCGTCCATTGACTTTACTCCACACCAAAATGTATAGTGACTTATAAAGGGTGGCAAGAACTGTATGCGGCTCTTGGGGGCGCTTGTCCTATAATAGTCAAAATCCGCAGCGAACGAAACTAAAACAGCCAGCGACCGTCACTCGCGAACGGTGGGGTTCTAGTAGAAATCTCAGCGTGCTACGTAGCTCGGTAGAGAAAAGAAAACCAAAGAATTCTACTTACGGAAAGCATGAAATAAAGAGAGGGATGGTATGTGGATGCGGCACACAATGATTGAGTTCTCACCTGTATATAGGGATAGTATACCGAATGATAAAGGTGGAGGGCGATTATAAGGGGCGGAGAGTGCTCGTCGTGGCATGGCCTCGGCGTTCTTATCAAGCGCGTTGAAGCCGCGAAGTGGGTATATTCTGTGCAGAGAGGAAATGTGCATCGGATGATCGCGGATTCTGTCTTTACGTAGCTCATTTTATGGACTTAACTCGGCCGATGTACTTACGCGCTTCCCCTACAGGTACCTTGTTCACAACCATGGTTTACCCACCATTCTCCTTCAAAATAGTGATACCTTCAACTGACTGACCGAATCTCCTAATTATCTTATTTGAAAAGGACTAAGTGGCGTCAGCCTTATGTCCGATTACCGAATTTGGCATCAAACGGTGATGAGTGAAGCCGGGGAGGGAGAGGTGAAGGGTCGGGGCCTATGAAAGAAGAAATCTCAGAGATTGCTAAATATCAATAGAAAAAGTTCACAGCGAGTCCACGGCGCCGATTGACTGTCACATTCGAGTCCCTTTGCTTTCGTAGCAAAACGCTTATTTGGGCCACACAACGATTTGCATGGGGTAGCTGACATACAGGTTAGCTCAATAATATTCAAGAAGAATATTATTGAGCTAACCTGTATGTCATAGAAGAACATTGGCAGACAGGAGAAGGATTTCGATAATACGGACTGTGCCGCGAAATGCAAAAAAAAGAGTACGGGTTTCACCTGCAGACCGGGAAGTCATAGAACAAAGTGGGAGGAGTCTACACCTAAAACAGCCAGCTCCGCTACAAATGTCTGTGTTGTTGTCGGCGCAATAAACCGTGTCGCCTCAAACAAAATATATTATGGCTGAGCTTGCTGGTGTAGGGGGTGGGGTTACGTGACATCTCAAACTTTTGTGGATGGTCCTATTGCGAAACCAAGAAACGCAGGCACATACACTCGCAATCCTTGAGATGAGGTGGGCGTGGCTGCGTATTTCAACTAAAAACGCGGTTAGTGAATGATTGGCTGCTGGTGAGTATTGGATTCAGTTTTCAGATAATTATGGTCATGTCTTTGTCGAACTCAGAACAAGATGACAGTCATCTCAAATTGAAATATCCCACGAGAAACCCATCCTATGCCATGCTCAAATGCCACGCCTACTCCGTCTACGGGATAAGAATTGTAGACTACGGCGCCTGCCAAAACATCGAGACGAGCAAGAAATTATGGCGAGCTAGCAAACGAAGTTTTTCTAGGGGAGGGGACGACTCCGGGCCGTGTGGGTGGCCACTTGAAGGAGAGAAGGTGAAAGCTGGAATGTGCGAAGTAGCAATGACCTATAGACGTGCGAGATAGAGCGGTGAGGAACAAAACAAATTAACCGCGTTCGAATGGCTAATGCGATGTTGAGTTGCTTCCGTATACCGGGCGGGGGGGGGAGAGCGGGGCCAGAGTCCTGCCTCGGCTAGTTTCCAGAATTCGGTAATTTTGCCATGACTTCCAGAATGCTGGGCCTCATATCAATATCAGAGCAAGTAACCTAAGCAAACAAAGTAAATAGACAACATATCAAAGCAAGTAACCGAATGGAGGATTTAGTTGTGCGAAGCGGCGGGGTATCTTCTACCAACACCAGACGTTGGTTAGTGGTTTGCTGAGCTCCTTACAAATGTTTGAATTGTATCGGACGCTGGGGCGTGTATAGAGAGGCAGGGGCTTCGGTACGCGCCCACAAACTCCTTTTTCATCAGTTGACGAACGAATAAGCGACAACAAACTTGGTGGAATATGATGGACACAAACGTAGTAATACAATCTCTTCGCGTTTGCCTGCGCTTCAACAAGTCGGGCGGAAAATGGGGTATGCGCGGCTGTGCCTTACCCACCCCTACAGTCAACACGCCTCATCTTCCAAGGTGAAAAAGACTACGCTTCTCATGTAAGGCCTAATGTTTTCTACTCTAGAACTTGTGCGATATTTTGCTGTATTATGCGGGTTGTGTAGCTCAAGTTGGGCTTCTTTTGGGGGTTGTTTTTCTTAGGCACTGTAATATGCAGTAGCTCAATAGAGCAAGGCGACTCACAAGAGCTATCAAGACTTCCAGTATCAAATTTCACTCGCACTTGCAAACCGAGCAAAGATCAGTGTATGCATGACGTTTCAGGGATCATTTCAGTTCTTTAGGTCTCCAAGGCAAGCAGCACCCAGATAATTGATGCTCTCATTAGTGTTACATTACTGTCGAGACTAATTATTTTACGAATGAAAATCTATCAAATGCTCTGGTTTTACACTGACCATCGGAAGCGGCTGCTTTCCACTTAGTCTTCTCTGGATATCAGTCATAGTTAAAGTATAAGGTGGTGGGCGGCCAACCGTGCTATTGTTGATATTAGCGCACCTCCCTGAAAATTTGGTCGAATTATTCGAATTAACTGCAGCTGAGAAATGTTGCGCTAACTCGATGTCGATATTGTTTTATGCGGAAACAGTACTACAGCTATATTCTTTGTTTTAACATAAAACCTAGGACTCAAAGCATCTTGGTCTCTCGTGGATGCCACACACGTTCCGAGTATTGCATAGAACTTGAGTGCGAAAACCACTTTCAGCGATCTCGTTGATCTGGGGTTTTTTTCGGCCTGGGCGCCAGGCACCAGGCACTTTCGGGTCAAGT